GTAAAAATAAGGCAAAACAGTCTTGAATTTCAGTGAACTTTGAAAATTCATCAAAATTCATAGGAATCGAACTAGCCCCTGAAATTTATACCACTAAAAGAACTTTAAGTCTAGTTTCAAACGCAACAAACAGAACTCAATTTGGATTTTTCTACACTAAGATACAACAGTTTTTCATAAGCTGGTTTTTGAAACTTGAAACACGAAAATTCCAGCAACCTACTTGTGAAACCTTTCTCTTTTCCTTTCGTTTAATGCCTTCTTAATTGCTCCAATCAAGGTGCATTTAAGGCCATCGTTTTACCAAGATTTTAGCTCAAGAAGAGGTTCTAAAAATTGAAAATTTCTGCTCAACTTTCGGCCACGAGTACGGCCTCAAAACCAGAATTTTTGAGCTCCAAGTTTGCAGCTAAATTGGGGCGTTTAAAACCAGAAATTTTAGTACATGGTTGGAGTTAAAATGAAGCTCTAAAACCTGAAATTTTGTCCTCAAAGTCTCGGCCAACAGGTAGCTTTAAAACCTGAAATTTTAGCTGTGAGGACTTGCAAAATTCCTTATATTTTTCGTAAAAATTCCCTTTTATTTGGAAATGATTACTTTATAATAGCCTTACTACCCAATCACCCCACAATAAGTGCAAATGAATATAGAATTAAGGGTTTTCCCTTTTCGTTTTCAAGTTAGCGCGAATTAGGGTTTTTACACCTATCCGTAGTGTGACTATCCGGTACGGAGGGTGGATCAAATTTGGTGATTAAGAGTGAGTTTTAGATGATATTAAGTGTGTGATTAGAAGTGATAATAATAAGTTAGTAAATTATAAGTTAAAACCCTAGTAGACGCGATTTAAGGAAAATCGGCTCCAACCGACGGGTATCGTTCGCTACTGATTGGCTAACGATTAAACCCACCATTTGACCACCATTTTTATCAAGTTAATCTCATTGTTATTGGAGCTTAAATATCAGCTCTAAAGCTAATCAAGGGGGCTGAAATATTTGACCTTAAAAACCCAAGGAAAAGAAAAACATTGAGATGTGATCTTGTGTGGACAAGTGGTGACCATCCAAGAACCTTTGACCCAAACTATGACTAAGCCTTAAAACCATCTTGGAGCTTCATTCTTCTTCATTTTTTTCAGCTTGTGCCCGAAACCTTGAGAGAGAAAATACAAGGAAAGGAAACTCCATTATGATCTTGTAGCTTAGTGTTTGTGAGTGAAAAATAAGATTCTAAACCGATTAAATCTTTCTTTGAGCACTTGGAAAGTTTGGTGTGCAAAAGGTTTACAAGGAGAGGTGGTGGATAACTCTTCCATGTATCTTTGAGAGGTATATTGGCTGCCCATCACATTTATTTCCCTTAATCTTGTTTAATCTTGTTTAAGTTGAGTAGTAACTTGTAATCTTGCTTGTGATGCCTAATTCAAGTGATTTTGATGATTGAGGTGATGAATTTTGAGTTAGGATTTTGAATGGTTCACTTATAATTCTTGTGTTTGGATGGTATATGGTGTATATAATCTTGTATAGGAGGTTGTAGTAGTGATTTAAGCTAGAAATGTGAAGTTATACCTTGAACTCCTTAAATTCCAGAAATGAAACTCTTCACTGCCCTGTCCTGGCTGGTTCTGTTTGACCATGAGGGAGGCTGAATTAGGCTTAGAACAAAACATGAAAGTTGTATAGAATGATATTTTATAGCTTCCTGTAAAATTTCAGCTCAATCCAAGCACTGTATCATGTGAAAATAGAAAAATACCCCTGACTGCCATAGGTAGAGCTTTGTGGCCAATTTTGACATTTCACCAATCTGACCGTGTCTGTTCACCCTGATCCGTACTGAATTAGCGTTTGGCCAAAACACAGAAATTGTAGTTCTATGTCTTAGCTTTCCAATGGCCCTGAAAACGTCTTAATCGGACTTCAGTAACCGGAGTTATTGTCGTTTACGCATAGTGCGGTTAACTAGGCAAATGTGAGATTCTGGTTATGTAATTTGAAATTTTGACCTAGATACACTACGAACTGGACTGAATAGTCTTCATCAAAGTTGTAGGCCTTTATCTTAGCTTCGAAATGGTACAAATTTTACCCCAATCCGATAAGTGTATCTTCGGTTGTGTCCGTTCCGCTAAGCGACATCAAATCTGTCTTTTGTTTCTGACTTAAATTTCATTTCTGGACATTTTCCTAGCTTGAATTTGTACTTGTACGACTTTGACCCTATTGAACGGCTATTGAAATGAGATTATTTTGTGTGTGACTTTGGGACTGATTGAGGAAAAGAATGAAGCCATAAATGGCTGAAAAATAGGTAAATACAAAGGGTGTGCCGCCCAAGAGCGAATACCACTTGAATCATTGAGGATCTTTGCGTCCTCTTTTATCGAGATATATAAGTTAGAACTTGGCCGAACTTGTACCCTTAGGAAATGAAATAACGACTACTAAAAATACGTCTTCCTCGTTCTTTCGACTCAAAAGGGGATTTCCAAGTATAATTGCTACAAAATTTCACAGTTTGAAAAGCGAGCAAGTGTTTCACGAATATTCTCCAAACGAATTTCAATTACTTGATTCTTATCGAACGAAATGTTTAAGTTTCGAACCTTAGTCGCTTTTCAAAGTTCTTAAACAAAGTTTTATCGCAGATTTGGACTCCAAACCCGGAGTACAACCCATACGTGATCACTAGAGGCACTACATTTTGGTGAGTGCTTCCAAATATCTGATTGAACTTGACATTTGTGTTTAATACTTGACCAATGTAATTACATGATATATATAAGTGAATTGATAGGGCAAGAGTGTACTTTATCGCACTTGCCCTAATGTGATTTGTTCTTGTTCATCGATTGCAATTGACTTGCTATATATGCATATGAATTGTATCTTGCCTGGAATTCTAGAAACCCTGTGGCTAGTTAGTCGAGTTGAGTCGGCAAGGGCCTGGTCGATTAGATAACGAACCCTGGGTAGTTAGTGATGTCGAGTGGAGTGTTATCTCCTCGACTAATCGGTATACTCGAGTATTAGCACCAGTGTTTATTGTGGAGTTCGGGCCCGATAAGGGGTTTGATCGGTGGACGGAGATTGGAGTTAAGTGGTGTTCTACTGGACTAGTTTCTCACTTGAAAGTTGACGGAGTGGCAACTACCAATCGATCAAGCTATGGTGGAGCCAATATAAGAGCAATTGTATCCTTACATGTGAAATGCGGAATATTGATTGTTTGGCTATATGAAGTACTGTTACTCACTTCTTGACTTGTTTTGCTCGCTATTTCACTATTATGCTACGTTTACTTTATTTGGTGGACAATTTGATATTTGGAACATCACTGAGCTTTAGCTCACTCCATTAATTTTGTTTTCCTTACAGGGTACGAGCGAAGCGTGAGGCGTGTACAGACTAGCGTAGTCTAGTTACTTTGAATTGTACTCACGCTAGCACCCGAATAGGGTTGTGTGTACTTGAATTGTAAACCCGTTAATGTATTTGGACATGTATGAACCTTGTAGTTGGATCTGAGTAGTGTTGTATATATATTAAGCTGAAGGGATTGTGTTCTTTATTTTTCTATGTTTGTAAGTTATTTTCGCGAGCTTTACGTGAGTGAGTCCTGGCAGGAGCTGGGCAGGCGACTCGCTAAACCCTAGGGTACGCCCTAGGGGGAGGTGGGGTCGTCACAGGTGGTATCAGAGCCTAGGTTTGAATTGATCTGGGTAGCTCGAGTGATTTATACTTGCTATGCCTTGGTTATAGTTTGGTTACGATAGGCTAGGGTGTCGCACTTGAGAATAGGCCCTTTGCCTCGATTTTTATGTCTAATTTATTTCTTCTTGTAATATTACTTGTAATGTAGAGGATGGCGGGTACAGATGCTGCTAGGGGTGCTGGGCCATCTCAGCCCGTGCCTACTGATGAGATACATCTCGAGGGACCCGTATGTCGCGTACTGACCTACCAGGAGAGCCCCGGTGGGCCTGTGTGTTGGTGGTCCCCGGCACGTAAGATTCGGCGCTGCGACTGTTGGAAGACCTATTCCTACCCCGATCGGGAAGTTGTTGCAGTGGATGATGAGCGGAGACAATTGGGTAGCGCCAATCATCGGTGCCAGACGGAGATAGAGCGTCTCCAGGCAGCCCTCCGAGTACATAGTGCTAGGATCCGAGAGCTTGAGACTTCAATTCTGGAGGAGCAGGAGCGGACTAATGCCTTTAGGGAGCAGGCTCAGGCGACTACTGGTCGCCTTGTACGAGTAGTCGGAGATGTCCGAGACCAGACCGACCGTATTCTGACCGAGTGCGGGGCTCTAGTGGATGATGTGGTTCAGGACTTGGCCGAGGAGGGCCAAGGGCAGGCGGTCCCTGGTGCTTCTGTGGAGGAACCGGAGGAGGACCCCGAGAAGGATCCAGAAGAGGATCCGGAGGAGGAGCTGACTGCACCTGCAGAGTCAGTTGGGTCGGCATCTAGCTAGACCTCTCGTTAGGATTTGACCTCTTGTTAGGGTTTAAGAGATTTCGTGAGGTAGTTAGGGATATAGTGGGATGACACGTCGCTTTTGTTTTTAAAATTTGGCGTGTTAAGGTTGATGTATATAGTGCTTCTTTTGTTCTATGTCTCTTGGCTAGTATAGCCTTTGACTTGACCAGGTTGACATGTACAGTACTTTTAACTTGCTATGTGCCTTGTTTTGCTATGTATATAACGGCCATGTTTGTTTTGAATGTGTTTTATTGTCTCTGCTTTATGATTTGAAAATGTTTTATCCGAGCCATACCTTATTTTGCTTATATTTATATAGTTGGCTAGTCAAGAATCATGGAGGGTAGAAGGAGTCTAAATCAGGAGGACGTGGCTCTAATCATAGGCGAGAGGCTAGACAGGCCCAAGAACCAGTGCAAGAACCGAGAGTGGAAAGAAGTGGAACGGCAGAGCCGCAACCTGGACCCCGAGTGGGAGGTGAAGATCAGGTGGCGACGGCGATCCAGCAAATGACTAATATTCTTGCTCGTTTAGTAGAGCAACAGGGTCAAGCCCCTTTGAACCAACCAAGGGATCCCGATTTGGGACAGGATAGAGCCCTCGAGAGATTTCAAAAGTTCTCTCCTCCTAAGTTCCTGGGAGGACCGGACCCTGAGGGAGCCGAGAGATGCTTAGAGACCATGATCAATATCTTTGCCGCTCTGAACTATGCAGAGGATAGGCAAGTGCAATTTGCTGCTTTTCAATTTGAAGGTCCAGCCAGATCTTGGTGGAATGTAATTAGAGCTAAGTGGGAGAGAGAAAGAACCGCATGGACCTGGTTGAACTTCGTGCGGGAGTTTAACGAAAAATGCCTCCCACCTATCGTCCAAGAGAAGAGAGAGGGTGATTTTATTAAGCTTCGGCAGGGAACTTTGAGTGTAGCTGAGTATGAAACCCAGTTTATGAAATTGTCTAAATTTGCTCCTGAATTGATAGCCACGGAGCAAAGGAGGATAAGGAGGTTTGTTCAAGGGCTCAATGTGGAAATACAGGAGGCCTTGGCGGCAGCTCAGATCAATACTTTTACTGAGGTTTTGGAGATGGCCCAGAGAATCGAGATTGCCAGGGCGCAAGTGGGAAGTTTTCATGCAAAACGAAAAGGGGCGCCTAGTGGATGTCAAAGGCCGGTACAGAGTGATCGAAGCATACCACCCCCTAAAGCAGGTCGTGGTGTTGGGGATAGAAGGTTTACGGGTACTTCGAGGGGAGGTACGCCGAGGAGAGGCCAAGGTGGAAGGGGACAAGGGAGAGGTGGTCCACAGGGGGGCCAGACCTCCACTCCTCGAGTAATGTGTGGATATTGTGAAAAATCAAACCATACTGAGGAGAATTGCTGGAGAAAGGCTCGGAAGTGCCTAAGGTGTGGAAGCACGGAGCACTAGATCGCTAACTGCCCGCTAATCAGCGATACTCAGTCGACTGGAAAATCGAACCCGAAACCGACCACCGTAAGAGGGACCAGGTCGAGGGTACCAGCCAGGGTGTATTCGTTGGACCAGCAATCGGTACCTGAGCCGACGAAGGTCGTGGAAGGCACGGTTCCTATTTTTCATCGTTTAGCCAAAATTCTGATAGACCCTGGTGCCACTCATTCTTTTGTTAGCCCTACATTTATGCTTGGAATTGACATGAAAGTTGAAAGGCTACCTTATGATTTAGAAGTAAGAACACCTACGGGTAATCAAACTTTACTTGCGAATGAGGTGTATAGAAATTGCGATATTTGGATTGGTGAGCGGAAATTAGTAGTCGACCTCATAAGTCTAGCCATTAAGGGGCACGATGTTATTCTAGGCATGGACTGGCTAGCTCATTATCATGCTCAGGTAGATCGTAGGTTGAAGGTAATTGAGTTTTACATACCAGGGGAGGCAACTCTAAAGCTAGACGTGAGGGGTATGTTAGCCTCATCTGCGCTCATTTCGGGAATAAGGGCTAGGAAATTGCTTTGTTATGGGACACGTGGTTATTTAGCTTTTCTAGTTAACACCCCAGGAGAAAAGGTTAAGCTGGAGGACATGCCGGTGATTAGTGAGTATCCGGACGTATTTCCGGAGGAGTTGGGTCATTGCCACCCGAAAGAGAAATTGAATTTAAGGTTGACCTAGCACCTGGAACTACTCCCATTTCGAAAACCCCTTATCAAATGGCACCCGCTGAACTTAAGGAGCTAAAAGTTCAATTGAAAGACTTGCTAGAACGGGGGTTCATACATGAGAGCGAGTCACCGTGGGGAGCTCCAGTGTTATTTGTTAAAAAGAAGGACGGGAGTTTAAGGTTATGCTTTGACTATCGAGGTTTGAATGCAGTAACCGTTAAGAATAAGTATCCTTTGCCCCACATCGATGAGTTGTTTGATCAATTACAAGGGGCGGTGGTGTTCTCTAAGTTGGATTTTCGACAAGGATATTATCAATTGAGAATTAGAAAGGAGGATGTGCCAAAAACGGCCTTTAACACTCGATATGGGCATTTCGAGTTTGTAGTAATGCCTTTTGGCTTAACTAATGCCCCAGCGGCATTCATGGATTTAATGCATCGAGTGTTTAAACCCTACTGGGATAAGTTTGTGGTGGTGTTTATTGATGATATCCTAGTATATTTGAAGACAAGAGAGGAGCATGAGCAACATTTGAGGATAGTTGTGAGGACTCGCAAATTTCTTATATTTTTCTCAAAAAAACCCTTTTATTTGGAAATTATTCATTTATTATAGCCCTACTACCCAATCATTCCATAATAAGTGCAAATGAACCTAGAAAGTAGGGTTTCACTTTTCGTTTTCAAGATTGGAGCAAGTTAGGGTTTTCATGTTTTTCCATAGTGTAATTATCCGGTACGGAGCGAGGATCAAATTTGGTGCTTAAGAGTGACTTTTAGGTGAGAAATAATATGTGATTAGGAGCAATGATAAAAAGTGAGTGAATAGGAAGAAAAAACCCTAATACGTGCGATTTAAGGAAAAACGGCGCGAACCGACGGGTACCGCACACTACCGATTGAACGCACCACTTTGTGACGGCCCCACCTCCCCCTAAGGCAAACCAAAGGGTTTAGCGGACCGCCTGCCCAGCTCTCGCCGGAACTCACTCACTTACTACATTCCTCAAGTAAATTACAAGGTACAACTCAAATAATACATCCAATTCTCCAAAAATTACATATCATAAGCGAAGCGGAAACTAGTTCTAAGCGTAGAATGTAGATATTCGTCCGATTCAATTCCAAATATTTATACAGGCCCAAAAGTACATAAACCAAAACCAAATCTAAACTATACAAGATGTACGCCATCCAGCCACACAAAGATCCAAATACAAGTTCCTCCTTTACTTCGATCCCTGTGGGGAGAAGAAGATAATAGGGGGTGAGCTAGAAGCTCAGTGAGTGACCAGTAAAATCAACAGCCAATTATATTTCACAAAAAAGCATTGATATGATGTCATGATGCAGTAATCCAATGTTCATTTATTGCTCATGTGAGCCAGTGAAGTTCTTGTACTTAAATATCCAACGCTCGTTTAGATCAGGTAACCGTGAAACAGAAGTAAGGAGCCATCGTGCTCCAAAGAATGTATAAACAGTAGTGGAGACATTGGTTCTAAGCGCAAGACTTTCCAGGAACTCATTGGAGCCAAATTATGTCATGGCACACATCCAAACCCAAATGATATGCAATGGAGTAATAAATGCAAGAATTAGTTCAAAAGTAACTTTGGAAATAGTTGAGGGATCACTCACCAACCACGACTCACGAACCTCATCCATCATTTATTATTGTCTTGCTCAAGTCCAAGCCCTAGATCACAAATGGAAATAAGGACTAAAACGATCAAAGCGGAAAAATAGTAAAGGAATGCATCGGGCGTGCGCGGAAATGAAAATGGTACAAAATGGGTTACACGATTTTGCCCATAACTGGAGCTGTGGTTATCAGATCAAAATGTACTAGGTAGTGTCTCGAAGCTTAGACAAAGAGTTACAACTTTCATGAAGACACCTCAACCTAGTTTTTAGTGTATCCAAGTCAAATTTGCCAAATATAGAACTAGAACTCTAAAGAGCTACGGTAGTACCGAGCATAAGTTTTCGAATTGTCCTAAAACTTCTAAGGGAAAAGGAAATTCTCAACTACCTGCTAAATCCACTGCAAAATCAGTCGAGTGCCAGAAGGAGTGATTAATGCTAATGATTGTAAGAGGAACCCAAGTAGTAGAAACTCTATGAGTAGGGGTAAATCTGACTCCACTCGACAAATAGGGATCGTAGTTTTACCCTAGCATGGACTGGCACTTTTAGAGGTTATAATCTTTTGTATAGGGGATGACATCCTTTTGTTGTATATTGCGACTTAGCACATTTTGATCTTGTTGTTTCCTTTTTCTTTTGAATTGGTTTGAGGAACTTATTATAATTTAGTGTAACCATTGTGATCTTTTTGGCATATGAAAATCTACCTTGCTTCTAATTGATTTTACGGTTTATATGTATATGTAATTTATTGTTCCACCCCTCTAGACCTGTAATAAGATCATGAATGGCACCTGAGAATAGTTAAGTTCTATAAGTGTGAGTTTTGAAAAGGGAGAATTAAAAGTGATGAAAATTGGTCACAGGAGGAGAAAGTATTTGGGGTTATTCATAAATCAGAGTATGAATTTCGAGAACGAAATTCTTTTTAAGGAGGGAAGGATGTGAGGACCCGAATTTTTACTTATTTTAATCTTATTTTAATGGCTTAATTAATTATTTATCCACCCGTTTTCTCCAAATAATTTATTTCAACCATTTTAAATCCATTCATGTGGAACAATGTCTTCCTCATGTTTTTAAAACATCCCGTTAGCACATTTAATTTTCAGAGGTTCGTTTAAGTGAGAATAGTGAATGCGCATTTGGAGACAATAATCGATTCGAGGATACAATAAGTTTGAAAAATTGGAGACTTGTACATTAGTCTTGAAATAGGTATTTTTATGTTTAAGTGCTCAATTATTAGCTAGTGATACTATCGTTATAAGAATTTCTTGAAAATTCCACTTCATCGCGCACAAATCGGAAGAACGCGTTTTTACGCGCGCAATTAATTGAGGGACTTAAGACCATTATTTTTAGACCATTGAGAGTGAATAATAATAGTATGAAAATAAGTGAATTAGAGGTATAGTGCACAAGTGAAACAAAGTCGAGAGGAATCGAGCACGAAACGCGCGCGGGGAGAGGGTTGACTTTTGAACGAATCGTAGCCACACATTAAAGCTTCTCTTGGAAGCTTCATTTCAGACCAAAACCTCTCTCTCTCTTCTGGCTGGCCACCCTCAAGAAGAAAACAACCAAATTCTTCAACTTTTCCTTCATCAAATCTTCACCATTTCATCTCAAATTTCACCTACACTTAGCTAACCACTTGGAGACCACCTCAAGCTAGGAAGAGAGCTTGCTTTCTTTCCACGGTTTTGTTGAGCTTCAAGGGGTTCAAAATTCTGCTTTGTTCATCAAGAGAGGTAAACCACGATCAACTACAAGAATCTTAGTTTATGAAGACTATCTTGCACTTATAAGCTTATATAATCATGTGGGTAGCTTTATTTATGTTGGAAAATTGGTGTGTGGGCTCTATGAACTCCCACTATGGCTTGATGGACTGATTTGTTGTGTTTTGATGTTATTAATGTTGGATTAGTGTTTAATCTAGTGGAAATAGGTTGTATTGTTGAAGGAAAACTCAAAGGAAGTGATGAGGGAAATTTTCCCATTTCTGCCCCTGTACATGCCGTGGCCCTTAGAGCAATTTTTTATAGTTCTAATGACTTGTTTATGATGTATACATGTTGTGTGGGTTGTGTAGAAAGTTTCATCAAAAAATTTCATGATTTGGTTGGCCAAATGATGTGTTTTCGGAAGTCAGCAAAAACTGAAAATTTTCTCATAACTGCTCTGGCAGTGTTTTTGTTTTGGCTATAACTTTTTTCTCCAACGTCAAAATCAAGTGTCATCTATGGCACTTGAAACTAGACATTCCCACCTTTCCAACGGTATAAAATGTACATCCTGGTTCCACCTGAGTAGTCCATACCAATCGTTTGAACATGACTGTCCTGTTTCGCGTCTACACTGGGAGCTCTGTTTTGAGCAGCGAATTGGTGCTCAAATATGAGCTAGCCGTGGACAGATTTTGGAAACAATTTCTTCTAAGAAATTGTAGCTTTATGAATCTGTTTTTGAACGCCACTGACCACGCTCGATTCCAAGTTGAATTGAGTGAGTTGAGGCCGAAATCCAAAACTGACTCAATGATTTGAAACCCTCTTTTTGGCTAGTAAATGTCTAAATCTTGATTGGGACTTGTTGTTTTGAAATTCTTGGTGTCAATCACCTACCA